GTAGAATATGTGTGTTTTTATATGTATGGCTAGATTTGTCTACGTTGCTAACGGCTGAAGGGATGGTGTAAATCCAGCTAGGGTCCATGCAGGAAGCAAATGTACTGTAAGTCCCAATGGTCCCTAGTATTGTGATCTACCTTCAGTTGTTGGCAATATATAGCCTGTTTTTACCTTGTATTGTCATCTATAGTTCAACTGTTTTAGATATAATTACTAGATTTAACTTCTAATCTAGTGATTTTACTGCCCTTCGTTGACAGATTTTTACAATTTACCATTAATTATTATGTATAAAATTAATTGTTCTCGTCACGATATGGCTGAAATATTGCCGATGTGATGATAAATTTTAACTCACTCACTCACTTGTGTTTCCTGGCAACATTAGGCAACCCTGTTCAATTGGATAACTCTGACACACGTTACAATAGAGGCTGTCTTGGGCTTTAAGCCGCTATATAGCTTGAATATTAATGAGTGCGGCGTTAAACGACAAATCAAACCAACCACACCACCTGTCCGAAAGCAACCTCAGATTAAAAAATTGCATTGTTATTACCTGCATCTGGCTGGCTTCCATCGACAACCCTATCACCGATCAATATCACCAGTGGCTGAAATACATTAGCATAGCAATTATTGAGATTACGAGAGAGAGAGAGATTACGAGAGAGAGAGAGAGAGAGAGAGAGAGAGAGAGAGATTACGAGAGAGAGAGAGAGAGAGAGAGAGAGAGAGAGAGAGAGAGAGAGAGAGAGAGAGAGAGAGAGAGAGAGAGAGAGAGAGAGAGAGAGAGAGGGGTCTGGTTCTAGAGGGATAGAGAGGCGTACTATTATGCCGGAAGGTATAGAATAGACCTGCAACGAGAAATAACATTCTGTTCAGGGCACAAAGTGACAAGGAATATTATTCTGCGAAGGATATGGTTAAACGGGTAACAGAAAGAAAGAAGGCAGAGCGGAGAACGAATTGGCAGGAGGGCCTAGAGAAGAGAGGGGGAACTGGAAGAGAACGATGACGGGAGAGAGAAGGCTAGAGTGCTAGAAGAGAACGTAGAGGAATGGTAAGAGTTGGTTGGACTGAGAGATACCTATAGACTCGAGAGAGTTGGGGAGGTAAAAGTAAGGGCAATCTCGTATGAAAGAAACATGCAGATATGGAGATTAATCGGTTAAAGGAAGCAAAAGATACCAACTAGACAAAATCAGCGACATGACATGTATTAACTTTGGGATTTCTCAGTAAAGTACAAATTATGGCGCGTTGTAGGTTGAGTTCGACACTCTCGATTCGAACCCACACTCTCAGCGTCAGGCACCCAATCGCCAGCACGCAGAGTCTGCCATCTAACCCACTCAGCCATCGCGGCTATCACAAAAATGGATGTCGGACAACTGGTAGTCTGGTAGTGACATAATCAGCAATAGTGAAAGAATATGTAGGATACGGGGTATGAAAGAAGGATGAGCAAGGGGGGAAAGGTTATGGAGGTAGATCAATATGTACACATGGATGTGTTGACATAAACTCACCTTGACCATTCCCCTCTCCACGGCAGGTTGGGGGTATCCCCTTCCCATTGACCTCATGTTCAGCAACACAGACGAGGCCCAACAAAACCACAAGGAGTTGCACTCGGATCGACAGCATCGTAACAAATTCTGGAACGGTCATGTGTAAAGTTAAGGTTTAGCCAAACTCATATGCAGTGGATGTCTGTTCTGCATCTATGAATGAAAATATCATCTGCATGCATGCATTCCTGGGACAATGCTTATTCTTGAATATAGTTATCTATAGGGCTGCGCAATATAACCGGTTTATCGGTATTTACCGGTTCAGACACGATACGTATTGCGATACGCTGGTTAAAACCGGTATTTTGACTTGCATTCGGAAAACTTCGTAACACTCGGAAATCTTCGGATATTTCCTTGTTTCATTTGTGCCAAATATTTTTCACATTTTTATTTTATCATGATTAAAAGTTGTTATTAATGCTTAATCAAACATAGTGATTTTGTTGTGTTTTTGCTCTATAAATCAAGCATTAACTCGCTTATAAGTAGTTTTGTGTTTAAAAATACTTCAGGCAATATATTGCAATACATATCGCAATACATGCTTTCGCATCGCAATATATTGAAATATGAAAATTCTGTGCAATACCCACCCCTAATTATCTAAGTCGTTTCATTAGTAGCATGCCCAGTAAAAGATGGCGGAAGTCGCTGAACGCTTTAAGTTACATTCTAAACACGTTTCTGTGAGACGGTTAAGATAGATGTATCTGCCATACGTTCATGGTGTATTTCGTTTGCAGAACTATACAATCCACCCGTTTCTCTCTCGTCACAGGGGCGGTGGGGTGGCCTAGTGGTTAAAGCGTTGTATCGTCCCGCCGAAGACCCGGGTTCGAATCCCCACATGGGTACAATGTGTGAAGCCCATATATGGTGACCCCCGCCGTGATATTGCTGGTATATTGCTAAAAGCGATGTACAACTTAACTCAGTCAGTCACTCTTGTCACTGAGTTAATATCTAAGTCACTTTGTTGTGTACTTCATCTGTATTACACTTCTTGCACGGCACGATATGCCCTCTGTCTCATCAGACAATTACCATAGACACACCCAAGTCAGTTTGTCAGGGTATTTCGTGTGTGTTTAACTTCCACAACACCACCCGATATGCCCTCTGCCTCATCGTTCAATTAGTATATACACATCAAAGGCACATTATGTGTGGAGCGCAATAGTGCAGTGGTAAGGCGTCTGCCTAACACGCTGAAGATCCGGTAATACCACTCTTTAAAAATTTCTGTTTTGTGTTCCCTCTCATTTCTTAATAAGTGTACTACCCCGTCGCCGAAATACCTTAGTTGTGCTGCGACGCTAATTAAAGCAAATAACAACAACAACCTGTGAAGCAAATATATCGTTTATCTACTGTATACACATCCAAGTCACGCGCAATAGTGCAGTGGTATGGCGTCTGCCTATCACGCTGAAGGCCCGGGTTCGATCCCCGGTGGAGGCACCTTGGTTCGGGTCACGAGGTGGGCACATTTGTGTAGTATCCTTGGACAAGATACTAAGATCACATTGTCTCAGTTTACCTAGCTGTCGAATGGGTACCCGGGAGAATGTGCTGGCAATGTGTGTGTATAGTTAATTGCGCCTAACAGGCAGCATGGCTGTATGATCCCCAGGGAGTTGAAGAAAGTATCGGAAAGTACGATGGTGTCCAATGATCGGGAATAGTACTGTACGTAGCGCCGTGGGCAGGTAATGTTGCTGGATATGAGCGCAACATAAGGGGACTAATACTATTACTATGTGAGAAGTTGACGGGACACATCAGTTAATATCAATGGTGTTAGACTGTACATAAATGCCTCATCATCTCTGTCATGTCAAACATCGGTTGAACATTGCTCAGATTTACCAGCAAGGCTGTTGAAAATAGAAAGATGCATACATACCTTTTCAGCAACACGGATGGAACTGCCCTATGGTAGTTTCTAGTACCATTTATAGAGACCTGTCCCTCATGACGTGTCGTTTCACCAGACCGTACAGCCGTTGTAAGATCTTTAACTTGTCTTGGCAGTGTAAGTTATTGAGTAAATGACATTTTTACATTCAAATTTGCATTTCCTTAGCATAATCGAAAATAATTTATTCCAGTGCTATCAGTACTTAGCATTTCCAGTAACAGTATTTATAAATATTGTGATTTTAGAAAATATGTTTGTATTTCTTTGGTCAACGCCGCATACAGCAATAGTCCAGTAATGGGACTGAGATCATGAACATCGATTGGGATACGGAATGCATGCATCAACCACGTAAGCAAGACTGTCTACAAGATTCTGTTAGCTGCCCCTGACGCTCGGTAATCCGACACTTGTGGTTGCAGAGAAATATGTCGGATTAACGAAAATGTCGGATTAATGAAAATGTCGGATTAATGAAAATGTATTAATGTGTGAAAATATCAATGTTTACTAAATGTCATGATCGTCATACTGTTGCATGCATATCAGAAATGGTAGATCTAGTTATCTTCATCGTATGTAAAAATATTCACAGAAATAAGAAATACTAACAATACATACTTGTTTTCATTTATTAACATTCATAGATGGCATAACATACATATATAATCACATAAGCGAACAGTTTCATATCTATTTCATGACCACATTGGCACAAAACTCACGTTTGTTTTTTACCGCATATCAGCTGCCATTATGACCCGGATGTTGAATATGTTACAGTTTCCATACAACTAATTCCATAATAACATGTGGACGTCTAATGTACAATCAGGCGTGTATCATAACATATATAATTTATAACTTGTTAATGACTTTGATGGTCATTAACATCAAACACGTCTAAGTGGTGTGTCAGAAATGTTTGCAAAGTGTTCAACGATGTTTTGGCCTCAGATAGCTTGAAGCATTGGGAATCAGTCGTAGAGACGCTCAACCACTAAGCAGACTGCTTCAGGATGTCAGATACGGTTGATCGTCCAATCTTCACATCAAACTTCTGCTCAGCAAAAGTGATGACTTCTTGTTGTGCTGTCTGGGGTTTGTCTTTCTTCAAAAGGAGATTTCTTTCTTGATCAATGGCGTGACTTCTACAAGGGGTCGCTTAGCAGCTGGTGTACTCGTGACAGACATCTTGTGATGAAAACTCATGTCGGTTGTAAACATTTTATACAGCTCGCTCTACTGTTATTTCTTGATTAAATCGCCTCAATTAATTATCCTGTGTTCCTAATTAACAAGTGTGATGTTCACTGACGTGGGTGTTAAGCAGCCAGTAAGGCACGCGCTAATGTGATGTTTCATGTGTGATGTTTGTATAACGGTCGGATCATCCGACCGGCTGTGTTGATTGTCGGATTAACGAATGTTTTACAATGTATTTACAATGATCGGTTGCTAGATTGGTGTGTCGGAGTCGGAATGCGAGAATGTCGGATTAACGAGAGTAATTATCACTGTTTTAAATGGTTCCCTAATTTTTTGTCGGATTAACGTGATTGTCGGATTAATGAGTGTCGGATTAACGAGAGCTGACTGTATATCGTTCACATACTCCTGTATATTCCGTTGAACGCCTTCTTGGTCATGTCGTCCAAACCGAAACACCATCTTGTTTGTGAGGTGATATGTCTTAAATACTGTTCGCATATTCCCGTTCTGGTGTATGACGTCCCAACTTTTAGTTCTAGCAAGATGTGTGATGGAAAATATTTCCTCAATTCAGTTCGCATACTCCTGCATATTCCGTTGGACACGTTCTTCCACATGGCGTGTCAATCACCACGTCCAGTTTTGTGAACTCGACACATATTTTAAGTGAAGCTCACATGTACGTCGTGTTGCTTGATGATTTTGTCACACCGTACCCATAGACAGATACAAGATGATTGTGTCAGACACAAGATGATTGTGACAGACACAAGATGATTGTGTCAGACACAAGATGATTGCCTGTTGCATTTATTGTACTTGGACTAAGTTGAATATTGTCAATTTTGTTTAACTTCTTTCAGAGGCATTTTAAAACCTGTATAGATGAAGGAAAACCAAGATCTATGGTTAGTCAACTTCTTTATTGCAATGAGTGCGACGTTTGGGTGTAGGTACTAACACCGTTATCAACCAAGTTCTATGGATAGTCAACTTCTTTATTGCAATGTAGGTACTAACACCGTTATCAAGCAAGTGATAACGGTTAGTACCTACATTGCAATAAAGAAGTTGTCTATCCATAGAACTTGGTTTTCCTTATTATTTGTTCTATATAATAAATAACCCATCCATTGTAATGTCAAGGTTGTTCAACTTTGTTCCCTCAAATAGATAACACTCATTAACCAGCTGGAATGTCAGTAAAATTAAGATTATATTTGAAATGCGTTATGAGGTTTTGCTTTGAAGTAAAGCTTATTTTGAGAATTTATTCAACAGTAAATCCTCACCATAGGTAAACGCCTAAATAAACTCTCGAAGAGCAAATTAAGGAATAGTTGAAGAACATGAATATGACACCGCTTTAAGGAGTTTTGTTCAGAAACATACAGTCAGTTGAGGTGGGGTGAGGTGAAATTGGGTTTTACGTCGTGATCGAGAATATTTCGCTCATATTACGACGTGCATGCGTGTGTATGTGTATGTGCGGCTGCTTGTACTAGCCCAGACTGAAGCTGGTTTTATAGTGCTAGTCCACTGAGATACCATGCCGCAGTGAAGCATGAATACCCCACTCAGACACATTATACTGACTCCGAGCCGACCAGTCCTTGTTGTACCCATTAAGGCCGAGCGCCAGGCAGGTACCAACAAGTACCATATTTTAACGTCTTTTGGTATGACGCGGTCGGGGATCGAACCCGCGACCTTCCGCTCTCCGGGCGGACGCTCTAACCACTACACCACGGAGGCGTTGTCCCAGTCAGTTGAAGCTGAATGTGAGATCATATTGGACCTACCCATGGAGAGCAGCGGGCTATCTGCTCATTTGTGGTGTTTACGAAGAGGCTTCTTCACAGATCAGGTAGTCTGACATTTATAGCATAACATATCACTGTACACCGAGTACATGACTATAGTATCAGTTCCATATATAAAATCAGATTATGTTTGCTTGTGGTCTTCAGCGACCCATGCTTGTCAAAAGAGGCGACTAATGGGGTCTGGCGGTCAGGCTTGGTTGACACATGTGATCGGTTCCCAATTGCGCAGATCGATGCTCATGCTGTTGATCACTGGGTTGTCTGTTCCAGACTCGATTATTTACAGACTGCTGCCATATAGCTGGAATATTGCTGAGTGCGGCGTAAAACTAAACTCACTCACTCACTCATGAGAGTGCGGCGTGGAACAGCAAACACTAAAACACACCCACGCCGTAATATTGCTAAAATGTTCATAAAACCATACTCACTCACCCACCAGCTCCCTGTGACTCCATGTCCATATTACCTTTTATGAGACACTCACTGATATGATGCATGTAATATTGACCATGATACCCGTATCGAACATGTCACTATAGAATAACATTACTGGAATATTGCTAAAAGCGGCATAAACCTATACTCACCCACTCACACACCCGTCCACTCACACACTCACTTACTCACTCTGCAATATAATATCTATAGAGGACGATACAAAATAGAACCAGGCTATAGATCGCGAACAACTGATGGTAAATCACCATACTAGGGACCATGGGGACTTACAGTACCTTTGCTACCTGCATGGACCCTAGTTGGATTTACACCATCCTTTCAGCCGCTGGCGAGTGAAGGAAAAGTTTAGCCAAATTTTAAAAGAACAAAATTACTACGTTTAAAAATCCGGTAAGCACCCGTGGGAAGTCAGCTTATAATAGTGTTTGTGTACAGATTAACAACGAGAACTTCATTCAGGAGCATAAACAAGATTGTTTGATGAACAAAGGTGATAATTCATTGTATTTACTTCGGTATCATCAGCATCGACGTTCGCAATTGAGATACGATGACATGTGTCAACCAAGTCAGCGAGCCTGACCACCCGATCCCACTTTACTTGTATATCAAGGACGGTGGGGGTAGCCTAGTAGTTAAAGCGTTCGCTCATTACGCCGAAGACCTGGGTTCGATTTCCCCCATGTGTTATGGTGTCCCCCGCCGTGACATTGCTGGAATATTGCTAAATGCGGTGTAAAACTAAACTCACTCACTCCTGTATCGGCAATCACTCGAAAAACCTACACTTTAACATACTCTGAAATTTTCTTTTATCTACTTTATTAACGAATCAAACAAAACTTTCAAAAACCAAAAACTGTTCCAGTTAGAATTACCCGATGACATTTAAAGATTTGAACGCCTTTTACCAAGTGCACAACTCTCTATCATATTCAGAAGTCAAAATAGAGTTACTTCCCTTGGAACATTCCTCGATCATGGTTTCGCCTTCATAGCGAGAGGAACGCAGTAATGTCCTCCCTATTTCAGCTGATGTGAGTATGGCCTGGTGAATGTTTCAGAAATGATAAAGTAGTAATAGACGTAACACAAGCTATAGTCCTCAAACATATGTGTGAGTGAATCCTTTCCTCGATGCAGCGCTGTTCGTGAATTCATATTTACGACTGAGCAGTTGGCGAAAGTGTTCATAAAATCTTCCGATTTCGAAATATGCGCATTTAGCCTATTGCGCATCAATATGTGATCATGTTTTTCAACTGAAGAAAGATCACTTCAACGTTCAGTGAAAGACAGATTACTTAATGCACTATGTTTTGAAACTTACCTTTCCCCGTTAGGCTATTGAAACCTTGACATCCTCAGTGAGATTATCTTGTCAAGCGGATTCTTCGCAAAGGGGGACGGTGGGTAGTCTGGTGGTTCAGGCGTTCACTCTTCACGACGAAGGACCGGGTTCGATTCCCCACATGGGTACAATGTGTGAAGCCCATTTCTGGTGTCCCCCGCCCTCGATATTGTTGGAATATTGCTTAAAGCGGCGTAAAACTATACCCATTCACTCTTCTCTGGGGCGGTGGGGTAGCCTAACGGTAAAAACGTCCGCTCGTCACGCTGAAAACCCGGGTTCGATTCCCCACATGGGTACAATGTGTGAAGACCAGTTTGTTTCGAGAAATCGGGGCCTGGTGTCAACCGCCGTGACATTGCTGGAATATTGCTTAAAGCGGCGTAAAACTATACTCATTCACTCACTCTTCTCTAAATATCTTGTGATATCACACACACACACACACACACACACACACACACACACACACACACACACACACACACACACAAACACAAACACACACACACACACACACACACACACACACACACACACACACACACCAGTTGGATATTGTACATTGGGGTGAAATTTGACCATTGGCGCTGTTGTTAGTTCACATGCACTTTAAAAAGTTTGAAGCATCCGAAACTTGAATAGCTCTAACCTGCTTCCCCCCAAAAAACTGATTTGCCATTTACCCTCCCCACCCCAGTTAAGGATCAGAGTTGTATTCGTCGATGTTCATCAGCTGTTGGAGATTGTGCGTCACGTGAGCGAGTGCCATCACGACGCAGGATATAATGGCAGCTCTGTAACTCTCCTCTCGTTTGACAACGTAATCACGCGATATACTGACTTTTATCGATAAAGATCAACAGCGCTAGCTGACATAGCAGCAATGTGCGAAGTAGCCACTGGCCCGCTAGTCCGTGTCTAGTAAAAATCCAGTCGGGCTAGTAAATGTCCACAGTGAATTGTCATGGGGTCATTTTGTAAAATCTCTCCGACTTGTTAAGTTATAATACACTTTTAAGTCATACATGATTATGGCCTGATAAAATTGTTCATCATATCAGCAGCTTAATGATGAAAAATGTGTCTACATTCAAACTTCCGGGCTAGTGAATTATTTTGTGGACTAGTAATTTTCAGGCATAGATGGCCCAACTGTCTCTTACGACAAGCATCAGGAAAGTGCTGAAACTGGTATCTGTGATGTTTTGAAATTTAGGAAAAGTCTTCTTTTCCAAGGTAACGCTGCTGTTTCCAAATGTAGGTTATCTCTCTCTCTCTGTGTGTGTGTGTGTGTGTGTGTGTGTGTGTGTGTGTGTGTGTGTGTGTGTGTGTGTGTGTGTGTGTGTGTGTGTGTGAGTGAGTGAGAGACAGTGTGTCTGTGTATATTGATGAATGGGTGTTGATGATTATCGTTTTCCATTCTCCAGATTCCAAGCATGAGTTCTGATGAAGAGGATTTACCTCCCCCGCGGAACTTCCTCTCACTCCGATCCATGATAAAGAGAGGACAAGAAGAGGAAGCGTTAACGTATATGACAGACCACAACTTAACAGCGGACTCTTTTGCGCGGAGGGTGAAATCCGGCGAGCGGAATGATATATTTTGTCCAGTTTGCACAGCCGCTCAATCCGGACGACTCAACATAATGAAGACTTTAATTTCAATGGGATTTTCCTTTCAGAGTGCAAGTCCAACAGATCTTGTGTTACACATGGCGCCTGTACACTTGGCCTCATACGGCGGCCATCTTGCTGTTGTGAAATCCCTTATAGAAGAGTATGGAGTTGACGTCAATACTCGAGACGGGTACGACAACACCCCTGTCTACTGGGCCATCAATTCGCTGGACGCTAACCTTGACCTTGTCAAGTATCTCATAGGTGCTGGGGCGCCAGTAAATATGAAAAATGAGATTGATAAATCATCCTTGCTCCATACCAGTGTGAAATATGGAAATACGGACGTCTGTACTTATCTGTTGGCTCAAGGAGCTGACGTCACAGCACGTGATCACAACGGATGCACACCTCTGCACATAGCCTCTGTGTGGGGTGACGAGAGTTCAGCACGTGCATTGCTAGAAGCAGGAGCTGATGTGCAAGCGCGTAACAAATCTCGCGAGACCCCGATTTTAGTCACAGCGAAACACGGGATTTGGCCGCTGATGAAAATGTTGTATTCGCGCGGTGCCGATCCAAATGATAACGACACGGATGGGAACACAGTTCTTCATTATGCAGTTGTCAAACAGTCATACGAAACTGTTTATTACTTAACCGTACATCTTAATGTTGAATTCAACGTGGAAAGTGTGAAAAACGAAACACCATTTTGGTCTGCTGTGACGTCAGGCAATTTGGACATCGTTAGATTGTTAGTGGACTCCGGCCATAAGTCATACCTGCCCACTGGCGAGGATGGTGGCCTTGTGTTCTCTGTTGCTCACTTGGACCGTGGAAGCAAGGAGTCGTTGATGTCGTACGTAAAGGCGGCTGTGACAAACCCGCAGTCGCTGCAGGATCTGTGTACGTTCAGAGTTAGGCGATCCCTAGGGCTCCAGGTAGGCACAGCTGTTGAATCTCTGCCACTGCCTGGTATTGTTAGAGACGTTGTCAGACTGTGTCATATTTCCGACACTGTTTGAACCGTATCCCAGACACTCCTTGAACTTTGTTGAAAAATGACCGTATCCATGACACCCACCCACCAATATTCCAGCACAGTGCGGATACCCGACATCCTGAACCTTATTCCCTACAGTTTGTGAGCTGCATTACCTATACTGTGTGACCCGTACCCCCAACACTGTCTGTGGCGTGTTTCCGACACTGTGCGGAGTATCACAGACAGTTGTCACCCCGGAACTGTGTGACCCGTACCCCGAACTCTCTCTGTGGCGTGTTTCTGACACTGTGCGCAGTATCACAGGCAGTTGTCAGCCCGGTACTGTGTGACCCTTACCCCGAACACTGTCTGTGGCGTGTTTCCGACACTGTGCGCAATATCATAGACAGTTGTCACATCGGTACTGTGTGACCCTTATCCCGAACACTGTCTGTGGCGTGTTTCCGACACTGTGCGCAGTATCACAGACAGTTGTCAGCCCGGTACTGTGTGAACAGTATCCCCGACACTGTCTGTGGCGTGTTTCTGACACTGTGCGCAGTATCACAGACAGTTGTCAGCCCGGTACTCTGTGAACAGTATCCACAAACACTGCCTGTGGCGTGTTTCCGACAGTGTGAACAGTATCACAGACAGTTGTCTCCCCGGTACTGTGTGAACAGTATCCACGACACTGTCTGTGGCGTGTTTCCGACACTGTGAACAGTATCATAGACAGTTGTCACCCCGGTGCTGTGTGAACAGTATCCCCGACACTGTCTGTGGCGTGTTTCTGACACTGTGCGCAGTATCACAGACAGTCTTAGTTGTCATCCCGGTACTGTGTGAACAGTATCCCCGAACACTGTCTGTGGCGTGTTTCCGACACTGTGTGCAGTGTCACAGACAGTTGTCACCCCGGTACTGTGTGAACAGTATCCCCGACACTGTCTGTGGCTTGTTTCCGACACTGTGCGCAGTATCGCTGTCAGTTGTCAGCCTAGTACTGTGTGACCCGTACCCCCGACACTGTCTGTGGCGTGTTTCCGACACTGTGAGCAGTATCACAGACAGTTGTCACCCAGGTACTGTGTGAACAGTATCCCCGAACACTGTCTGTGGCGTGTTTCCGACACTGTGCACAGTATCACAGACAGTTGTCACCCCGGTACTGTGTGAACAGTATCCCCGAACACTGTCTGTGGCGTGTTTCCGACACTGTGAACAGTATCACAGACATTTGTCACCCCGGTACTGTGTGAACAGTATCCCCGAACACTGTCTGTGGCGTGTTTCCGACACTGTGCACAGTATCTCAGACAGTTGTCAGCCCGGTACTGTGTGAACAGTATCCCCAAACACTGTCTGTGGCGTGTTTCCGACAGTGTGCACAGTATCACAGACAGTTTTAGTTGTCACCCTAGTACTGTGTGAACAGTATCCCTGACACTGTCTGTGGCGTGTTTCCGACAGTGTGTGCAGTATCACAGACAGTCTTAGTTGTCACCCTAGTACTGTGTGAACAGTATCCCTGACACTGTCTGTGGCGTGTTTCCGACAGTGTGCGCAGTATCACAGACAGTTGTCACCCCGGTACTGTGTGAACAGTATCCCCGACACTGTCTGTGGCGTGTTTCCGACACTGTGCTCAGTATCATAGACAGTTGTCACCCCGGTACTGTGTGAACAGTATCCCCGACACTGTCTGTGGCTTGTTTCCGACACTGTGCGCAGTATCGCTGTCAGTTGTCAGCCTAGTACTGTGTGACCCGTACCCCCGACACTGTCTGTGGCGTGTTTCCGACACTGTGAGCAGTATCACAGACAGTTGTCACCCAGGTACTGTGTGAACAGTATCCCCGAACACTGTCTGTGGCGTGTTTCCGACACTGTGCACAGTATCACAGACAGTTGTCACCCCGGTACTGTGTGAACAGTATCCCCGAACACTGTCTGTGGCGTGTTTCCGACACTGTGAACAGTATCACAGACATTTGTCACCCCGGTACTGTGTGAACAGTATCCCCGAACACTGTCTGTGGCGTGTTTCCGACACTGTGCACAGTATCTCAGACAGTTGTCAGCCCGGTACTGTGTGAACAGTATCCCCAAACACTGTCTGTGGCGTGTTTCCGACAGTGTGCGCAGTATCACAGACAGTTTTAGTTGTCACCCTAGTACTGTGTGAACAGTATCCCTGACACTGTCTGTGGCGTGTTTCCGACAGTGTGTGCAGTATCACAGACAGTCTTAGTTGTCACCCTAGTACTGTGTGAACAGTATCCCTGACACTGTCTGTGGCGTGTTTCCGACAGTGTGCGCAGTATCACAGACAGTTGTCACCCCGGTACTGTGTGAACAGTATCCCCGACACTGTCTGTGGCGTGTTTCCGACACTGTGCTCAGTATCACAGACAGTTGTCACCCCAGTACTGTGTGGACAGTATCCCCGACACTGTCTGTGGCGAGTTTCCGACACTGTGCACAGTATCACAGACAGTTGTCACCCCGATACTGTGTAAACAGTATCCCCGACACTGTCTGTGGCTTGTTTCCGACACTGTGCGCAGTATCGCTGTCAGTTGTCAGCCTAGTACTGTGTGACCCGTACCCCCGACACTGTCTGTGGCGTGTTTCCGACACTGTGAGCAGTATCACAGACAGTTGTCACCCCGGTACTGTGTGTACAGTATCCCCGAACACTGTCTGTGGCGTGTTTCCGACACTGTGAACAGTATCACAGACATTTGTCACCCCGGTACTGTGTGAACAGTATCCCCGAACACTGTCTGTGGCGTGTTTCCGACACTGTGCACAGTATCTCAGACAGTTGTCACCCCGGTACTGTGTGAACAGTATCCCCAAACACTGTCTGTGGCGTGTTTCCGACAGTGTGCGCAGTATCACAGACAGTCTTAGTTGTCACCCTAGTACTGTGTGAACAGTATCCCTGACACTGTCTGTGGCGTGTTTCCGACAGTGTGCGCAGTATCACAGACAGTCTTAGTTGTCACCCCGGTACTGTGTGAACAGTATCCCTGACACTGTCTGTGGCGTGTTTCCGACAGTGTGCGCAGTATCACAGACAGTTGTCACCCCGGTACTGTGTGAACAGTATCCCCGACACTGTCTGTGGCGTGTTTCCGACACTGTGCACAGTATCACAGACAGTCTTAGTTGTCACCCCAGTACTGTGTGGACAGTATCCCCGACACTGTCTGTGGCGAGTTTCCGACACTGTGCACAGTATCACAGACAGTTGTCACCCCGATACTGTGTAAACAGTATCCCCGACACTGTTTGTGGCGTGTTTCCGACACTGTGAACAATATCACAGACAGTTGTCAACCCGGTACTGTGTGAACAGTTTCCCCGACACTGTCTGTGGCGTGTTTCTGACACTGTGAGCAGTATCACAGACAGTTGTCAGCCCGGTACTGTGTGAACAGTATCCCCGACACTGTCTGTGGCGTGTTTCCGACACTGTGCGCAGTATCACAGACAGTTGTCACCCCGGTACTGTGTGAACAGTATCCCCGAACACTGTCTGTGGCGTGTTTCCGACAGTGTGCGCAGTATCACAGACAGTCTTAGTTGTCACCCCGGTACTGTGTGAACAGTATCCCTGACACTGTCTGTGGCGTGTTTCCGACAGTGTGCGCAGTATCACAGACAGTCTTAGTTGTCACCCCGGTACTGTGTGAACAGTATCCCTGACACTGTCTGTGACGTGTTTCCGACACTGTGCACAGTATCACAGACAGTTGTCACCCCGGTACTGTGTGAACAGTATCCCCGAACACTGTCTGTGGCGTGTTTCCGACACTGTGAACAGTATCACAGACATTTGTCACCCCGGTACTGTGTGAACAGTATCCCCGAACACTGTCTGTGGCGTGTTTCCGACACTGTGCACAGTATCTCAGACAGTTGTCAGCCCGGTACTGTGTGAACAGTATCCCCAAACACTGTCTGTGGCGTGTTTCCGACAGTGTGCGCAGTATCACAGACAGTTTTAGTTGTCACCCTAGTACTGTGTGAACAGTATCCCTGACACTGTCTGTGGCGTGTTTCCGACAGTGTGTGCAGTATCACAGACAGTCTTAGTTGTCACCCTAGTACTGTGTGAACAGTATCCCTGACACTGTCTGTGGCGTGTTTCCGACAGTGTGCGCAGTATCACAGACAGTTGTCACCCCGGTACTGTGTGAACAGTATCCCCGACACTGTCTGTGGCGTGTTTCCGACAGTGTGCGCAGTATCACAGACAGTTGTCACCCCGGTACTGTGTGAACAGTATCCCCGACACTGTCTGTGGCGTGTTTCCAACACTGTGCACAGTATCACAGACAGTCTTAGTTGTCACCCCAGTACTGTGTGGACAGTATCCCCGACACTGTCTGTGGCGAGTTTCCGACACTGTGCACAGTATCACAGACAGTTGTCACCCCGATACTGTGTAAACAGTATCCCCGACACTGTTTGTGGCGTGTTTCCGACACTGTGAACAATATCACAGACAGTTGTCAACCCGGTACTGTGTGAACAGTTTCCCCGACACTGTCTGTGGCGTGTTTCTGACACTGTGAGCAGTATCACAGACAGTTGTCAGCCCGGTACTGTGTGAACAGTATCCCCGACACTGTCTGTTGCGTGTTTCCGACACTGTGCGCAGTATCACAGACAGTTGTCACCCCGGTACTGTGTGAACAGTATCCCCGACACTGTCTGAGTCACAAGAATTTTGGGTGGATCCATGCTCAGTGCCTCAGTCAGTGGACTGTGTTGTCCAGATTCCAATATTTACAGATTGCCGCCAATGGCTGAAACATTGTAGAGCACGTCGATACAAACAAACACACACTAACCAACAAGTAAAAAATCACTAACAAACAATCAAACGCATGCTGTTGGAGCCAATGTTTTTTATTTATAATATGTACACTGTCAAAGGCAATGCGGTCTATTTTGGTCATGCTATTTGTGGCAGAACTGTTTGTATATGGTTTGTACTGCTGCGATTTTGTTGGTTTATAGCGGGAATATTGCTGAGTGCGGCATAAAACTAAACTCTCTCACTTTGTTGCTTTACATTGTGTTTACACAGCTTTGTTGATCGAGTATATGATGAGGAGATGTCGAACAAACCAAACAATAAACGTTATCCAATAAATGCGAGAGATTGAGTGTTTAAATGCTTCAAAACAAAACCACCCAATTAGATGTGCCTGCAGATGGTAATACTTTCACGGCATATTCACATTTACACCTTGTTGTTCACTACAGGCAACGACCTTGTGTTGGTGGAGTTTACTCAGTCCGTGAACCATCCCTGCATTTTAAGTGTGTCGTTAAGCTTGTCTTAATCCTAATGGCTGTTCACACACGTATACCACTGAAACCCAGGTCTCTTGACTGTGTTGACTGATATAACGCTAAACAAACCGAAACATGAGTCTCACGTCCTCGATAGTCTCCCGGGTATACGTTCCGATAAATCTCCACTATACCCTGGATGCATCTATGGCTCCGCCCGATAATTTTATTACCTCCCTTTGCTGGCTCCGCATTCTCACAGTAGCCAATCAGATTAGCCGCCGTTACAACCGATCTTTCCAGTGTCAACAAGAAGGTTTGTTCGCAGTGCGACTCAATAATTGGGGGAAATCATGCAGACAAATCGACAGGTCTGAAACCTTAAACAAAATATGTGCAAGAACTCCTTCCACCTCTTTCAGAGTTACTCTGCAACAATTGTGTTGCCAAGTATAATCGTTGGATAAAAGAAGCGAAAAGTTGTGATTGGTACGCGCAACTTCCCAGCGTAGACACCTGATAGGCTAAAAAGCCAGCCAAGGGAGGTAATAAAATCATCGGGCCGAGCCGTAGATGCAAGGATATAGTGGACAAAATAACACGACAAAATCCCGACTGAAACTTGGCAAAACTGTGTCAACAAGGTAGCTAACGTCATTGAACAAGGTTACTGATCTCGGGATGGCTTACAACAGGCAACTGTGGCACCACTTGTCATCCCTTTAAGTCGTGACTATGACACTACGACAGACGAGGAACCGACAGGTCTCCCGGAATAGATTTTGAGATGTCCCCCGCCATGACTGGCTGTTCCGTTTCTGCGGTTTCACCCCGCCGCGACAGATAACAACTTTTGCGTTTCCAATGATGATAGTTTCTTAAACAACTTTTTTGGTGGAGTCCGGAAAATTTTCAAATATAAGAAAGCTGTTGGGTATTAGTAAATGATAAACATGTGTACTGTTTATATTTATGTGGCAATTTTGTACAATGATAAAATTTGCAATTCATCGGTCTGTTTCTGACTTAAACGGACTGTAAGTTGCGCAATAGGACGGAACCCAGTCAGCAGGAAACAAGACTGTTGCGTAATCAATGTTTTGACCCAATCAATGTTTTGACTCTGTTCACCAAGGTCTAACGCTTAGGTGAAACCTTTATGTCAAACGACGCTGTTCTTAAAGGTATAACGCCAAGGTGAAACCCCTGAGGTCAAACGACCCTGTTCACAAAGGTATAACGCCCAGGTGAAACCCCTGAGGTCAAACGACCCTGTTCACAAAGGTATAACGCCCAGGTGAAAACTCTGAGGTCAATCGACTATGCTCATAAACGTTTGCCAGTTGGGTGAAGACCTTGGTCAATGGGCGTACAGTGGTTGAAGCACTAGTTTAAACGCTGTCCCCAAGGGTATATCATTTGGGTAAAACTGTTACGACATTCAAACCGATTTACGACAATCCGACCAGGTTTACGACTTAGAGTGAGCTCCCTTGGTTTTTGTGTGTGAGTAACTACGTGCGATTCACTGTGTGTTTTGAGATCAGATTTCCGTCCGTCCGTCCGTCACGGTGTTTTTTACGGACTCTTCCGCCATGTAATGAGTTCTGTATTAATTAGTGAATAAACATCGTGTTATCAGAGAATTTCCGTTTGATTGTTGATTATGGATCAGCTACAGAAACCATTAGGTCAAACAACGTTTTTCACAAACGTGCACCAACTCAGTGAAACCAGTCAGGCCAAATGGCGCTCACAAACGTGTACCACCTGAGTGAAACCAACAGGTCAAACGTGTACCAACTTGAAACCAGAACCAGAAGTCAAATGAAGTTTGAAATATATTGGGTACACCTACATATTATAGACATGGTGTACATTGTAACCTGATCTGAGGGGGCGGTGGGGAAGCCTATAGTGGTTAAAGCGTTCGTTCGTCACGCGGAAGGCCCGGGTTCGATTCCCCACGTGGGTACAATGTGTGAAGCTCATTTCTGGTGTTCCCTCGCAATTAACGGGATCGGGTGGTCAGGCTCGCTGACCTGTTTCATATATGTCATCGTATCCCAGTTGCGTAGATTGATGCTCATGCTATTGATCACATGATTGTCTGGTATAAACTCTATTATTTTCAAACCGTCATATAGCTGGAATGTTGCTGAGTGCTGTGTTATACAACAAACAAGCAAACAAACGTAAGATCGACCAACTGTTTGATATCCGTCATATAGTCGTACTATTTCTGTGCGAGGCGGGGCGATGGGGTAGCCTAGTGGTTAAAGCCTTCGTTCGTCACGCGGAAGGCCCGGGTTCGATTCCCGACGTGGGTACAATGTGTGAAGCTCATTTCTGGTGTTCCCTCGCCATGATATTGCTGGAATATTGCTAAAAGCGGCGTAAAACTAAATCTCACTCACTCATTCACTCAATGTAACCTGATATGAAACCCCAGTGCTTTGATGATCTCTCAGGTGATGGCCGGGGATTGGACCGGGGACAGATGATATTGATAGAGTATTGAAGCTCATTCTGAAATGCTGCAAGAGTATTGTTTTGGGTCGTGTCTTATCGCGCAATACTTTAAGAAAGTATGCTTGTCCTGTTTATCGGGTGCTCCTTTTAATTTCATTCGGTAAATGCGATTTACTCCAGTATATAGATTACTAGTATAAATCTCTTCTCTCTGTTTTGTTGGGTGAATAAGTATTTAAAATGCTATGTTGATTTTTGATTGATTGTTTTCCGTTTAACGCCGCACTCAGCAATATTCCAGCTATATGGCGGAGGTCTTTAATGAATTGAGTCTGGAACTGACAATCCAGTCATCAACAGCATGAGCATCGATCTGTGCAATTGGGAACCGATGACATATGTCAACCAAGTCAGTGAGCCTGACCACCCGATCCTGTTAGCCGCCTATTACGACAAGCATGGGTTACTGAAGATCAATTCTAACCCAGATCTTTTCGGGTTAATATCATGAAGGCACATGGCTTATCAATATTACAGGATTTGCAAACGCTTTTTTAATGGGGGCAAGATCATTACCATTTCAAAATCTAAGCTAAAACGGATGGTCAATTTTCATTTGTTTGCCTGTAGTGAGGATGAACTATGTGAAATTATTATCATTCTGCCGTTAAAATATGGTACTTGTTGGTCCCTGCCTGACACTCGGAATTAATGGGTAAAACAAGGACTGCTCGGCTCGGAGTCGGTGTAATGTGTCTGAGTGGGGTATTCATATTTAACAGCGGCATGGTATCTCAATAAGTCTGGGCTAGTACCAGCAGACACACATGCACACGCATGCACGTCGTCATATGAGGGAATTATTCTTAATCTCGTCCTCCACCGAGTCAGGGGCGCAACCCACGGCAAACAGGTTGTCCAGTTTAGTTGCCTTTAACGACCAGCAATGAGGTACCGAAGACCTATTCAAGGGAATATTTGGGCATTAACTCATCGTTCGAATCGCGTTTGATCCCGTGACAACACGTACAGCTGATGCAGGGCCTCGTGACAATGTGCACCATCAGTGTAGGACACATTGTCTTTCTATGCACCATCAATTACAGTTCCCATGACAACACTTACTGTAAAAGTTACGTTTAAATATGCTATTCGCACTTTGCTAAGGATCAAATCATGGATTCAACAGAAAACTAGTATGTGGGGTCAAAGCTTATTGTAAGCATGGATCCTAGGTTTCAGTACGTCATTGCATCTTTTGGATCCCATACCTGCTATTGACATGTGTTGTTTATTTGTCAATGACTCGTTCCATGATTTGCAAAATGGTTGATTTGTGCCATGAAAACCATTTTTATGGTTACTCATGTATCTAGTGTATAAGGTTAGCTTAAAGTGGCTGTTTGCCTAAAGAGGGATTACCATATTATTATTTACCCAGTTGTAAATGGATACAATTTCAAATTATAAATCTACGTTTAAGTAAAGTTGTGAATTTTTGTGATCTTTAGCAAAGTGTGAGTAGTATATATCCCTCCATGGCTGTCACAGTGACAATATTTACTGACATGGACTTTAATAAAGACACTGGACTTTGACACTTGGATTGTCAGACATGTTAGAAAAGTAGCAAAATGTGGTCATTTTCTTATAACCTTATGATTAATTCTTTGAATATGTATGTTCGGTGTCTATATTTCATGTGAAATCCGTGAAGATCCGGATTAGAATTGATCTTCAGTAACCCATGCTTGTCGTAAGAGGCAACTAACGGGATCGGGTGGTCAGACTCGCTGACGTGGCTGACACATGTCATCGGTTCCCAATTGTGTAGATCGATGCCCATGCTGTTGATCACTGGATTGTCTGGTCCAGATTCGATTAATTACAGACCTCCGCCATATAGCTGGAGTATTACTGAGTGCGGCGTAAAGCTACACTCACTCACTCACAAATAAATTGGCCTTTGCACGTGTTCACGACGATGCACGTCATGGGATGACCATCGACGTCATCTCAAAGTCGGCATTTTTGTAATCCATTATTGTACATCATATAATATAAGTAGAAATGCAGTAATTTAATACGTAATGTTTATTTAAACAAGCAATAAGCTGCGTGAAGCATGGTTGACATATCTTCATGACAAAAAAGGAAAAGTCTTTCAAAGTAAATCATCAATCATTTCCCCAAATGTCACATCTCCCACTATATCACAATAATAAGGTTGCGACACGAATTGTATATGGAATTGTTGTTATCATAACTCAGTAAATTACAGATTCCAGTACTTTTGGGTTGTGTACTATCCGGGATTCGAACCCGCATTCTTAGAGTGAGGCACCTAATCGCCAGCACACCAATCCACTCAGCAACCGCACCTTCCTCCCCGAGTGTGTGAGTTCAAATCCCGGAAAAATGGATGGGAACCGTTTGCTATTTACACGGT